TTTGGATTGATTTGAGATCTTGATTGAATCCTAAATTGAAGTCTAGAAGATTTAAACTTGGAGAAATTTCAACCATCAAATCAATTAGGTCGAGATCTGGATGGGCCCTAGTTCCTTTAAATCAACAATCATATATTTAATCTTCTCAGCTCTTTATTGATTGTTGATGTACCGAAGAAGACAATCATTCAATCTTCATCAGCTCTTTATTGATTGACGATGAAGCAAATGACATAATTCAAGTACTATCATAATTCTAAAAATACTTCACCTACAGTTATGAAGAAATGCCTAGATTATCTTCAGACATGGTAGTTCACAAGTTAGCGATTCACCAAAAATGTTTTTAATAAGATAAGCACCTTGACTAATACAACTCAACATCGAGCAACAAGATATGGTTGAAGTCAAAAAGTTCATTGATGTTAGCTTTATTAGGGAGGAAAAATATCCAACCTAGTAAGATAGCATCATTCCAGTCAAGAAAAAGAATGGTTATATATGTGTCTACATTGATTTTGGGATTTAAATAAGGCCTATCCTGAGAATGAGTTTACTCTCCCTATACTGGATAATCATGGTAGATATCTATTCCTCGCATGCAATATTTTTATTTATGGTTGACTCATATGGATATAATCAAATAAAGATGGATCCTAAAGATGAGAAATATGCAACATTCATAACACTTATAGGGATTTACTACTGTAAGATTATGCCTTTTGGATTAGAGAACATTAGAGCTACATATCAGTGAGCAATCATGAGGGTTTTTTATGAAATCATCCACCACCAAATGGAGTGTTATGTTGATGATCTAATCATTAAAGTCTTCAAAGATATGATCATTTATATGAATTGAGTATTATTTTCTGAATATTACACCAATATAGCTTAAACGTGATTACTTTGAAGAGAACTTTTGTTATCACTTTAGTGAAATTTTTTGGGTTTCATTGTTCAAAAATGTGAAATAAAACTTGATTCGAATAAAATGAAAGCAATAATTGAAATGCTACCACCTAAAATCTTACCCAACTGAGATCTTTCCAAAGTCAATTAGCATACCTTAGGAGATTTATATCAAACCTTTCATGCAAATGTCAGCCATTTACAACATTATGCAAAAAAGATGCTCCATTGAAGTGGGATCATAATAGTCAGAAATTATTCGATAGTATAAAGTAAAATCTTATAAATCCTTCATTGCTTGTGACTCCTATACCAGGGAAGCTACTAATACTATATATAATGGCCTTAAGTAAATCTCTTAGTGCATTACTAGCTCAGGCCAATGAGGAATGAAAAGGGAATGTACTCTATTATATGAGTAGAAATATACTTTCCACTGAAGTAGATTATCCTTTGATTGAAAAACATTATTTAACCATGATAGTCGCTTAGAAGTTGACGCACTACATACTATCTCATAAAGTAAATTAATATTTAGGATACATCCACTACAGTATTTGATGACTTAAGTGATGTTATCAGGAAGATTAGATTGCTAGTTGATGATTCTATCACAGTTTAATATTACATTCACTCTTCTACAAGCATTGAAATGACAAGTTGTAGTAGATTTCCTAGCAGCTCACCTAGTGCAAGATGAATTCTTGATAAATGACAAACTATTAGATGAATAAATCATGAAGCTCAAGTCAAATGAGAAGTCCATTTGGGAATTCTATTTTGACAGTGGTGCTTCCATTCAACATGGAACATCAGATAATATTTCCCTAGGGTAATTCAAAATTTGTACATTATTCATCATGTTGATGAAACATGTAATGTATTACACGTACCATATGTCATCACCTAGTACGAATAATAAAGCTGAATATGAGACATTGATACTTGTTTAAAATTACCAATCTTAAATATATTCGAAGAAATCAAAATCTTTAAAGATTTATAACTAGTGATTAATCAAGTAGCTAGAATTTACAAATTATTAAAAGAGACTTTGACTCTTTATCACCAGTACACAATGCCTTTGCTAGAATAGATCCTAACTATAATGCTAAACTAAATTCCCCATGGAAAGAATTGCATAGCAGATGCTTTTACTAAGTTGGCTAAGGCATTAACATGTTTTAAGGAAGATTCAATTCTGATAGAAGATTAAATATTGATAGAACTGCAAGGCTGGCAGGTTTTGTTTCCTATAGACTTTAAATATATAAATAGAAAACCCCCTAGTGAGGTGAAAAATGTTTTAGTAGTAGATGATAAAATTATGGATTAGAAAAAATATTTCATAGAATACTTAAGAGAAAATAAGCCCCCTCACAATAAATAAATGGAAAAATAGATTAAAAGATGATTGTTATCTTATACTATAATTAATGATATTCTATAAAGAAGATCATTCAATCAAATATGGTTACGATGTCTAAATAAATCAGAAGCATAGAAGATAGTAGAAGGAGTCCATATCAGATTGTGTAATGCACACCAATCTGGGCCTAAGATAAAAATAAAAATAATTTGAATGGGATAATATTGGCTGTCGATGATAGATGACTACATGAATATTACAATATGTTTCTTCAATGTTAGGTGCATGGTGTTGTTCTACATCATCTAAAAAATGCCCTACATCCAACCATCATCTCCCGGCCTTTTAAAAATTATGGTACATATATTGTCAATTTTATATATCTTAGGTCATAGATTTATACTAGCAGCCTATATTATTTCTCAAAGTGGGAAGAAGTAATTCCTTTGAAAGAAGTTAATGCTGATCATGTTTTGAAGTTCTTCAAAGAGAATGTCATATACTGGTTAGTATTTAGTATTGAATTATCTCAAATAATGATCCTTCATCCAGAAGTACTAAAATAAATAGTTTTACTAAACATCACAATACCATTGGGGCTATCATTGACACTACTGAAACACCCAAATATAGACATGACAGCACCCAATCTTTGTTTGACCACATTTCAGCATCAAAGGAGTCAACATCATAAATCATAACCAACTATCTAAGCACCATATAGTCAGAGGAGTTAAGGCTGCAAAGCCCAATCTCTATTTGTACAGTTTCACATTACTAAATTCCAGCACCGTTAAGTCAAGGGAGTGCCATGTAGACATCATAGTGCTCAACAGTCACCGGTGCTTGACTATACAATTGTAACTATTCATGTCACAATTTACCAGTCAAGTGACACATCGATTCATTAAATAAGGGGTCCATATCAATAAGAAATGAAGGAAATCAATAAATATTGTGGTGTTAGTACATTTTATGGGTGTCACGATGCAAGTGTCTTGAGTGTCGTGACACAAAAATCCATTTTATATGTTTTTCTATAAATAGTCTAGTTGTAGTGTTAGTATAAGTGTTCAATCACTTCTTTAATTTTAGTCTTTATAGTGCTTCTCTGATTTTTTCTTGGGAGTGACAACTAAGGGAATTCAAAGAAGTACTAGATACATTTTATTAGTGTTTGGTTTGTATTTGTGAAAATAATTTTATAAGTTCAAGGAGTGTAGAGGAGATCATTGAACCATTTGTTGATATATTTTCATCTATACTTTATTTCTTTTGAGCATTAATAAAAAAGGATATGCTTCACTTATTTTTCATATATGGCTAAATTCTCTAGTTTTGGATTGATGGTGTAAATGAAATATGAAGTACTAATGATTTCACTTTATCGATAATTTTATGATATTTTCAATATACTTGGTCTTCATTTAATGCACATAACAACCATATATGTAGTTAATATTAGGTGTAATTTGGTGCCTAGTAATAGGAAAACAGGCATAACCAAGTATGTTGGATAGGTATGATACAATCATAGACATAATGCGTGTCATGTATCAAATTTATAGAGATGAACTGTCATGAGAGGGTTTTAATAGTACATGCTTTACTTACTCCAAGATTTTTATAGGATATTAAACTATGGGAGTTTAAAGTGGTATTGAGGTTGGAAGAGTATAATCTATCCTTTTTATCCTCATGCTTGACTGAGTGATCAGTGATGCATATGCTTTGAATAATATCAAGAGAATCATTACGAAACATATTGAATTTATATTCCATCAATAAAAAATAATTTATCTAAATAGTATTTCATTTAATTATTTTTTATTTTTATTTAAGTGATTAAATCTCCAACAAAACTTATTTTAATTGTGTAGTATAATTATTGTAGTTGAAGTAGATAGTGCTAGTATTTGCAAGTAAACATTCTTCCATGTGGGATTAATACTCTACTCTATAACTATATTACTTAATTTGAAACATATACTTGCATATATTAAATTGGGGTTTTATAGTTTTTATATCAAAGAAAATCTAAGCATTTTTTAGAGATTGATAGAGCCTAAATAAGTTTCAAAATTCTGAAGGATACTCAACCGCACCCATTAAGTTCTTAGCGCCGTACCGAGGAAGAATTTATTTTATTTACAAATTTACTATATTATTGAATCAATTGTATAATTATTTCTACCTTATTCTTTTATTTTACTTTAGTGTTTGCATATATATGGTTGCATGCTTACAAGATATAGAGGGGATACACGTTTAAATTTTGATTCTGAAATTAAGAGAAACCTTTTGTAAAATATGAACCACCAAAATGAATTTTAAAATGATTGACCCTATTAATTACTCAGATTATTTTAAACCTCTTACATATTTTGCAAACCCTTTAGTAGATGAAATTCACCAAAGTATAAATAAACCTAACATCCAAGAAAATAATTATGAATTAGAACCTACAATAATTTAGATGGCACAAAATACTCAGTTTGGGGGAGCTCTCGTTGACGACCTTAACCTACATTTACCTAATTTTTAGAAATTTATGTAACATTTAAGTACAATGGTGTTAATAATGATGCCATCTTCTTATTTTCTCTAAGATTCAAAGCAAAAATGGGGTTAAATTCTTTAACCCCAAGCTCTATTACCACATGGAATGAGTTGGCCCACCAAAATCTAGGAAAGTATTTCCCGCCTTCTAAGACTACCAAGCTTTAGAAATGACATTACTTCTTTTACTTACTTAGAAGGAGAATCTATTTATGAGATCTAGGAGAGATTCAAGCATATTCTTAGAAAGTGCCCTAACCATGCCTTGGCTAATTGGTTGATAATTCAAACTTTTTATAATGGATTGGTAGGATCCCTTAAAGCTATAATTGATGTTGTAGCTGGAGGTTCTTTGATGTTAAAGCTGTTTGAAGAGGCTTATGAATTAATTGAATAAATGGTAGCAAATAATTTTTAATGTCTTGCTGATAGGGTGAATCCAAAGAGAGGGGCTAGAGTTTATGAAAATAAATTTTTATCTATTTTAATTACACAAGTTATAGAAATATCAAGGAAATTGAGCACTTTAAACTTAAATTCTGATTCATCGTTCCATTTGGAAGATAAAAGCTCAATGGAAGAAAATGATATCAAAGAGATTAAAAATATAAATTTATTTAGAAGACAAAATTATCTCAATTTAAATATATATAATACATGTTAGAGGAATCAACCAAATTTTAATTGGTCAAATAATAATTATGGAAATCAATGAAATTCTAGTCAAAATAACCAAGACACAAATTAGAATGATCAAAATCAAGCTATTAATAATCTAATACCAACATATCCTCTTTGATTAAATCAAATCAATCTATATGAAACTAGAAAGTCACCACTAGAATATATGGTCATGTAACTAAAAACTAAAATATAAAACCAAGTTACTTCAATTAAAAATTTGGAAACTCAACTAAGTTAGCTTATAATTTCTATGAGTAGGAGATCCATTGGATATCTTTCTAGTAACACTGAAGTTAATTTTAAAGAGCAAGAAAGAGATATTAATGGGACCCAATTGAAGAATAATAACCAACAACCTTAGCTAAATAGAAAATCTGGGCCTGTCTGACTGAAGAATAAAAACTTAGCACTGCTTGAGAGGCAACCCAATCCTAGGTATAGTCAATTATCCAGTCTACTGAAAACTATAAACCTAACAATTTTAGGGAGGCAACCTTATCCTCAAGATTCAATTTTGTTTTATATTCTTCACAAAAAAAATTTGAGAGAGAAGAATGGAGTGTTGTGGTGCCATAATTTTGCACACCGCAACACCTTGATGGGTCATAATGATTGAAATTTCAAATTTTCAAACTCCCCCCCTGTTAAAATCTGTAAAATCAATTAGGAGGTAGTTCTCTTTTTAGTCCTTAGCTACTCTTAAGTGAGTATCATACTTTCTTCTCTTGAGAATCAAAAGTCTTTGAGATGGATAGAATTAAGTATTTATCATCTTCTTCAAATGACCAAAATGAAAATCATACCTAGAATGAGGATTATTTTTCACTTCTTCACATGAAAAGTTCTGCAATAATTATTAAGTTGAAAGATTTTTAAGAGGACTTATATGAAGATAATAAGAAGTACATTTTAGAAATAAGGAAAATGCATGGTGGTAGAGTTTTCTTATATTAATTATTTTCTGGGTAAGATGTGTTGCTATTTCATTATAAGAAAATGTAATGCCATGGGAAAATCAAATCTGGATTGATTGGTCCTTCCACTATCATTATAACTTTTCTAAATGGTTCCATCAGAATACAAGAAAAGAAAACTTTGCAAATCATCAAAGTCAATGGGTATTGATTGAAACCATGTGCTTAGAAGAGTAAAAAATTCTTAAGGATGAGTTTGTGTTATTGTTGTTCTACTTTATTATTTTATAGAAAAAAAGGAAGTGGTGGGATATATTAGATTTTATAGTTGAACTTAATTGAAATTTTTTACTTTGAGAGTCATTATTGAATGTTTGGTGCCATGTACACTAGTTATCCTATATCTGTGTCATGTTAATGTAATATTCTATCATGTTTTGTGTCAACACATGTTTTATTTGCTCTTTATCACTCATATGAAAGCATGTATTTGTAGTATTTTCTATGTATTATTTACATATTAGCAAATTCCCTCCATGCTTAAATTATAATTATCCTCTTATTACTATTATATTCTGATTATTTAATTAACATTTATAAAAATGATAACTAAAAATTATAAAAAATTAGGATAATAATAAAACCCTAGATTTTAATTTGAATGAACTTTATTTGTATTTCATAGGTTGGAAAAATAATATTTAATTCATTCAACCATTTGAGCTATTATCCTAACTAGAATTTATAAGCTATACTTTTATGAATTTACCTTTTAAAAATAAGATGAATAATTAGTATTAAAAATTATATATGAGAATATTAAAATATGAAATCATTGCTAACCTAAACATGAAATTAATAATCTCATCAAGTTTATACATTAAAATTTTTAAGACTATATAAGAATCTTAAAGTAGAAATTGATATTCAAAATTATTAATTATGTACTTCACAAAAGAAAAAAAAAAGAATTATAAATAGTTTCTAAATAAAAAAGATGACTACATTCAAAAATTGGAATCAGTGAAAGCTTAAGACTTGAAATACAATCTTATACAAAAACTATAAAGGATAAGATGAGAAAGCTAATGTAAGGGATAGTAAGCTAATGATAGTATAATTTTAACTAGAACCATATCCAATTATTAAAACTACATTATCCACTTCAACATTCAAAAGTTAAAGATTAAATTTATAACATATAATTTCAAATTATGTAAACATAAGAATGATTGATTAAGTTTAACTATTAGTATTTTTTGAAACTAGAGGATTAGAGAGCTTTGGGGTTTAGAGAGGAAGAAGAAGGTGAGGTTGTGTGTGAGGGAGAAGTAGTGTGAGGGGTTTCACATGGTTGCTTTACGCATGCTTGCACTTAGCTTCCTCCTATGGCCTTGGTGAGTTCTTGATGATTCTCTTGGGAGAGAAGCTTCAAAGTTAATTGTATAAGGTTCTCTTCCTTCTCTAGGAGGGAGAAAAAGGATTGTGGTTCTCTGCCATCATAAGATGGTGCCATCACAAGGAGGGTGAAGAAGGATTCTGTGCTCTTTACCTTCTCCATCATGGAGAAAAAGGATTGGAGGTTCAGTGCCGTCACTAAGAGGGTGGCATAGCATCTGGTTCTTTGTCGCATAACATTTGGTGGAAGTGATTCTTGTAAGGGCTTTTCCGCCTTGTTATGGGGGTAAAAGAAGAGACATTATAGTGTTAGTACAATACACAGAGTGAGGACTCTAGGAAGTGGACATAGGTTAAGGTTGATCGAACCTCTACAAAATCATTAGTGTGCTCTTCTTATTTGTGTTTTATTTTTCTACATTTTTTATTTCTACAATTTGAACTTACTATACTAATCTCATCATTCTTTATCAACTGCAATTAGGTAAATTTGTTGTTTGAATAAGCATGAAAATTTTCATATTTGGATTAATATATTTGTGCCTTAAAATGAAAAATATTTTAAACCTTGATTTGCTTATGCATGTGTTAGATTAATTACTTATTCAGAATTGTTTTTCAAAATCATAAAAAGAAAAATTGTATTGGTGTAGTAATTACTTATTTAGATTAACCACTTCATATTTGCTTTTAGATTTATGTCTGATCAAAATGATTTTTTGTGACATACTAATTTATTATTATTATTATTAGTATATTCAAAATTAAAGAAATAAGAATCGACTTTGATTTAACCCTAAATTTTTTACATAAGTTTGGCTTTCTAAAATATCAATTTCAAGATTACAAATATATTGAATAAATATATTTTAAAATAAAAAAAGAAAATTTTGTCAAACGCAGTAATTATTTGTTGTGCTTTGGTGCTTAATTACCAATTAACTTCGTTGAGCCTTTCAAGCCAACGCATTTGACCTAAAACCTGTTGGCTTGCTACGGCAAATCTGATTGTCTTTATTTTTGTTAGTTTTAGGCGCGTGCGTGCCACGTCAGTTCGACATCCGAAAGATACGCGCATCATTACCTCGCTATATATTATAAAATTTGTGACAACCATCACTGTTTCAAAGAACCAAGCGTCAGTGGACCGTCAAAGCCACGGCTATGTGGAGGCCTAAATACCGTTTCCTCTTGGGCAAATTTTATAAATGGACATCATAACTTTTATATCAGTAAAACGAAATGACAAAAATCAAACATAAAATTAGGCAGTCGTGGACCCAGGACCCGGCTACTCACATCAATATATCATAAGAATATATATTTTAAAACTTATAATTTTATATATTTTTAAATATTTATAATAAATTTTATAAGAATCATTATTTATGTAATTTTAAATAAATAAATAAATAAAATAATTTATATATAGTTTTAGAGTATATAACATTATGACAAGTAATATAAATAAAAGTTATAAAGTTTATATATATCTAGCCATATTTGAATAAAAAAATTACAAAGTTAAAGACCAAAAATATTGAAGTTAAGATTTTCTACTTTGAAGGAAAATAATAATTTATATCTCTTATTTTATTATTTAATAATTTATACCTCTTAACTCAATATAATAGACATTTTTGCGCCCTCGAAAATTCGTGGCAGTTGAGAGATATGAAGTTTAGCGTTATAGTTTTATAAGAAGCTCCAGCACACAAACCGTTAAAAAGAAGGGGTGCGAGAGTCATATGAGATATAATGATTTTTACGTGAAAAATCTTTAAAAATGGAAAAACTACGGCGCGTGGCCTAGTTAAAATGATTTCATTAGTATTTGTAGTTGATTACAAATTATGCACTTCCGCATGGGAAAGACATTGGCTCAACGTATAATATAAAGCACATTACATAGTGGGGTTGGAAGAATCTAATGATAAGAAAGCCATTCTCAAGATAATGTTGGTTTGTTCATTTGGTAGGTAGGGTTGTATTTTGGCAACGGAGATTAGAAGTACAACAGTAGCTGACAACAGTGGTCGGAGGGATCGTATTTGACGAGCGATGGTGGTCAGAGGGATCATAATCAACAGGCTACCGTAGACAGAGGGAGCGTGTTTAGTGAGCGATAAAGGTTAAAGGTATCGTAGTCTGTGGGTGAAGATGATCAAATGGCAATAGGGATAGTGTTTTAAGGAACCATACTCCACAGGCAGCTGTGGTTGAAGGGACTGTAATCAACGGGCGAAGGTAGTCAGTGAGACCATAGTAGAC